TCAGGGAGACCTACACCTCAGTCAGGGAGACCTACCTCAGTCAGGGAGACCTACCTCAGTCAGGGAGACCTACCTCAGTCAGGGAGCGTCTGGACCTCCTCTGGTGGTTGGAGCCAGTGGAGGTGAGAGCCTGCTTCCCACACTGGGTTCCTGTGGTCACTGTCCTCTTCTCTCTCAGACTGGCCTCTAGAGCTTTACCTACAGACAGCACACCACAAATGACAGAAAATGCTACATCACATGCTAAGCGCTACTCTCTGGGCTCAATTTTAAGAATTAAAAAAGGAGGAGGGGAAGATGACAATCAATAACTCAACAGAAACACACATCAGAGATGTTTATCCCAGGGAGTTTCTTAGCAACTTTATAGCCTTGGCGACCATTGTAATGTTAAAACAATTTAAAAAAGGAGAAAAAGAAGATATCATAATTCTTGCCTTATTTGTGAACGACAGAAATGACACAAAATGTTAGGTTTAATGTAAGAATTTCTGGTGACTTCCTACTTTTGGTGACCATTAAAACTGGACATTAAAGAAGAAGAAGTCGTTATTTAAAATGCTATCACATAGCATCAAAACACAACAAATGAAAACTGCTATGTCAGAGGTTTTGCCGCTGTTTTCATTTATCTAAACCTGGACTCCATCTGGAACATTCTCTCCTACTACAGATGTAACAGACAATATCGTTGAATATTCGCCTACAAACACAGGGAGGTTCTCACCGGCGGCCACCGGCAGCGGCGTCTCCACGTCCGTATTGGTCAGCCACGTCGACTCCGTCTCTCTGGTCCAGCTCTCATGATACCTCGGCTCGATGATCGCGTCCGCCCGACTCCCTCCGCAACCCATGGAGAAAATCATCCACGGCAGGTGTAGCTGCGGCCGACACGGACTGATCACGGCTCCTCCACCACCACTGCCACCACCTGTGGTCTCAGCAGCACGGCATCTGCAGCATCCTGTCCGGATCTGTACTACTGCTGCAGCTTTGCTCACGTTTCCTCCTCCATCACCGCGATAAGCTGCTGATGCTGCTCCTCCTCCTACTGTTGGTGGTGTTGGTGTCTGACGCTGCTCTTCACAGACAGCGGTTGACCAGCATGATCACACGCCACGGTTGCCTGCGTCAGCATCCACTCCGTCCGCTGATTGGCTGAGAAAGTAATCAACTCCTCCAGCTCCTGTCAGCATCACCACTACACCAAAACCATCATCATCATCATCATCATCATCATCACCATCATCATACACTGACACCAATCAAAACATCACACACATGAAATGTGAAGGTGTTTACACCCTTTCTGTGACACAACGATCACCATGGTTTCCTGGCTGTCACAGGGAATTCAGTAAGTGGTAAACTAACACCCTAATATTTTTGTATTTTATATTCTTTCAATATGGAGTCAAATAAGTTGAACAATGGATTTTAGTTCATTGCATTTTAGAAACCGTACTAACTTTTATGGAAACCTGGGTTTGTATAGAAATCAACTAAAAGCCAATTTTCATAGTTTTTATTCTTACACTTATTTAAATAGAGGGATTCATTTTAGGTTATAACTTACAGCACATTATTTGCACATAGATCAATGACATATATATATATCTTTTTAAAACATTAAATAAACAAAAATCAGAGGGTAAATACAACTAGTAAATAGATTAGGGGTTTTTTTCTGCTGTGAAGCAACTTTAGTCTCCACAGGATTAATACTTTGAAAGGCTTTCAACAAAATAAATTCACCTGTAAATACTGAACAGAAGGAAAGCACGTTCACAGATCTTTTTTTGGAGTCTTTCAATCCTAATTACAGTACTACTTCATACATACATTAATTCCAATTAGTCCCACATTGAAGTTCTTACAGGAGACTGACTAAAGTGGAGTGATGGCAATGCAGAATTGTACCGGTGTTGTGATGCCAGAGGTTCTGTTGGGTTCAGACAGGAAACACTTTCACAGCTTGGTACAAAAAACAAGTTTCAACAGAAGAGGAGAAACCCCATTTTCAAGAATAGAATTGGAGACCAATCAGAGTTCTGGTTCCTGGAGAACTATACTTTTCACACGGGAATGTGTCAGAAATGTGGTATGAGACGACAGAAACACAAAAAGGACGAGAAAAGAGGAGAAAAGATTGACGGTACAAATAAATTAGAGATCATCAGAATATCTGTGGATATACTCATGATGGCAATGTATTCAAACTTTGAAATCCAGCAGGTTGCAGTCGATTTTGTAGTAAACATAGGGGTAGTACTCCTGCTGGCTCAGATTCAGACCTGGGATGTCCATGGAAGCCTAGAGACGCAGGAGGACAGACAGATATTTGACTTAATCCATGTTTCTGCTGCTTCAACATGTCATGCACTGGAACCTCGACAACAGCTGCACAGCAGGCTAGGAAGGTGGATGACGCGCTGCCAGTTGTGACTCAAGCGGTGTGTAAATAAACAGTGACAAAGGTGCGAGTCCAACACCAACACCACGTCTGCTTTTTATACCTTCTGACGCTGCTCTTACCATGGTGATGGTGCAAATCAAACACTGGACCAGCAGCAAATCACATAACTGAGATTTTTACAGTATATGGAAAAGCCTAGAAAGCACATTAGAGGAAAAACTTAACCACCGGGGGCAACGCTTCAAGCTGCAATACATACAAAAAAGGCTGTTTTACATTTGATTTCTTAAGTCAGTAAATGTTTCCTGTTGTGCATCAACCAGTCATCTTTAATGGAGGATAATTTTATTCCTGAAATGTCAAAATCCTAATATAATAACTGCTTTTTAAAATTCCAATTAAGACAGTTAGGGGAAGACTCACGTCGATGATGGCCGCGCTGCTGTCCAGATGTTTGTACAGGTCATACAGCACCTCCCGCAGCTTCTTCATGTTCTTCTTGTTGGGCTGCAGCAACATGGCCTGGAAGTTGACTGGCAGCCCATATCTATGAAGACAAGAGGGATTATTAAATTCACAAAACAAAATTAAAAAATAATCATAAAGTACATTATTTGCTGCCAGGGTACTGAGAAGAAAAAGCCAGCGATGAACTGGTGCTTCTCTACCTCAACACTGACTCCACAAACACTCGCAGAGCTTTTATGTGAATCCAGGCGATGAAGGCTTCGCTGAAATTCACTTTCAGCCATCGGACCAACGGACCCTGCAGCCACGGAACAGCAACATTTTATTAAGCATTAATAATATCACTTTGTTTGGAAGGCATTCAAGACACGTAGGTTGGATCTGTGGATGTGTTTGAATAGAAATACGTCTTCTGTTGGAGTTATGGCAACAGGAGTTTGTACTCATCACTTTGAAGTGACACTATTGTACTACAATCCTAAATACACTTGAACTCTAATAGGCTCCGGAAAAACAACAAGAGTACTTCATATGTAATCAGTTTAAATGTGAATGGGGTGGGGGAGGTCGGGGGGGCGGACAAATGTGCAGCCTTTTGTTCAGACAGTGAGTGGGTGTGGTCCTTATACAAGAGCCTCAAAATAGGCTCTGTGAAGAGCCCTGCTGTCTGATATTGAGTGACAGTAGTATCAAATGTTTTTGTTGACCCTATTTCGGTTGTACTTAATCACAACATCAGTTTAATTTCTATATAATAGCTTATTAAGGCTTAATGCAAATGACTGTAACTCACAAGACTCTCCTCAAATATTAAATGTCAATAACCAAGAAAACACCTGCTTATCTACATTTGTTTTAAATACCTGTGTTGAGTTCAGTGGTTGGATGCAGTGATTGCACGTGCCTTAAACTATTACACAGAACTATACAAAGAAAATATGGCCCGTACAAACTGTTTCTTCTTGTCGGTGGACAAACGTGTCATCTCCTCTTTGTCTGCCTTCATCTCCTCCTCATTATAGTAGAAATCACGCACCGTAAACCTGAGTCAGGACACAAACAACTCTTGTGCCAGAGAGTACACACAAACAAAAGAACACAGACATACACACTCACAATTGGATGTACTCCCAAAAATAACCCACATACGAACACAAAAGACCAAATTAATCCAAGCCCCAGATGAACTCCCTCTGTTATGCTAATTGGGCCTATACAGAAGTGTTGTTTATTTTTAGCACCTAACAACAGTGTACTTCAACTGTGACCTATCATCACTGCTGTGTTGACCTGGGCATGTTTTGACAAGGGAAAAATAATCATTAACCCCAGATGACAAAGACAAAAATAAAGACATCAGACGTTTACACACACCGAGGAGCTCGTAATCAAACTGGAAGAGTGAAAATCAATGTGTTACTTGTTTTCTCTGGCCTTGTGCTTGAAGTCATCAACAGCCTTCCTGAAGAGAGTGACACTGAACAGACCGTTGTCGTTGTCTTCAAACAGCAGCCTGGAGGAAAACACACCACATAGGACATCAAACACACATTTGTTTGACTACAATCATGTAAAACAATGTTGCCCTGTAATCTGTCTAACAAATTCTAGGGGTACATTTATACTAACTAGTTAACCAATCAGCAGAAAACAGGTGAAGCCAATCAAAAAGAAAAGGTAGAATATATCTTAACTTAATCAAATGTATCACCATATACATATCAAAAGTATACAAATAAGCTAAAAGTAAGCTAGATCAATGACGATACACATTAGTGAGCTGAGCTAATACTAAAAGCTAGCCAAAAGCTAAAGGGATGACTAACAATTAACTAAAATATTGTTTGAGATAAGGGATCAGCTATGAGCCTGTCAAAGCTAGGGGAATATAAACATTAAAGAATTAGCAAAAATTTGAAAAAAGAAGATAAATAAAGGCTAAAGCTAGTCAATGAGGTCCTCAGAGATCACAGACAGTTTCCTGTTTCAGATAAATAAAGGCTAAAGCTAGTCAATAAGGTCCTCAGAGATCACAGACAGTTTTCAGACTAAAGATGTGCCGACAGTTCTCCACATTTTGGTTGCCTAGTTACCGATCCACAGAGAGACACATCCACCTGAAAGGCACCAACTTCTGACTCAAATCATCTGATTGTGTTAGCAAAAGGTCAGTTACTTTCCACAGGTCAACCACATAATGTTTTGTATTCTAATAGGAGTCAATTGCTCTTTGCAGGTCAACCGTGAAATGTCTCCAATTTTAATCAAAGTTAAACGAAGTGAAGAGGAAGAAGAGGAAACTGTCTGGTCTAAGGAAGCAGGGAAGAGCCTGAGTTTGTCTATATTCAAACATTTACTCATGTCGAGGACTAAAGAGCCAATGTTTATTATTTAGGAAATACTTTATATGTTGTTTTATGTTCGATGGCACAGAAATGTTTGTTTTTCTAACAGCTGATCATCCAGAACCAACTGAACTGATACTGATATTCTTACTTAGTGGAGCGTGGTACAACCATTTCAGCCAGTGTTTCATACGTCTTCTGCCAGTCACCATAGCCTTGTCTGATGATGGAGCAAGGGAACAATTAAAAAAAAAGGTCTGACAATGTTTTAGCCTAGAAATATAGATAAAATAACTTTATTGCAAAGAAATAACAGGATGGATGTGTGAGGTGTGAACTTACTTGGAGACCACCACCAGCATCGTAACCAGATACTCTGAGTCCAGAACGAAGTCCTCCTTCTTCACAATGTCAGCCAGACTCCTGGTCATCAAGCTCCCCCTAAAGGACCGGTCATGACCGCACACAGACAACTTGACATGAGGCTGGGAATCCAGTTCTTCCACGTACCGCGAGAGGAAGCTCAAGTACTCTTAACTGGTACAGGCCCCATAGTTTGAGGACATCTGGTATAGTGACTTGGCCGGTGGGGAAGTGTATAGCAGAGTTTTTACTCACGCGTTTTTTCTCTCCAGGTTCTGGAGATTTCCCTTCAGATTGTTGTAGGCTGAAGCTCTGGCCTTCAGGTCGTTGTCGATCTGAGTGATTTGCTACAAATCAAGGAGGAGTAAGTGGTGGACATTGGAGGTTTGATCAGTGTGGACCATATTCTATCTAAGGACACCACACAGTGAATGTCCCAACAAACCTTGGAGATGATCTCAGAGATGTTCTTCAGAGACTGTTTGATCGGATATTTAGCCATGTCCCACTGAAACCTGGTGATGTAGGTGACCAGGTCGACTAAGAAAGAGAAAAAGACAAAGGTTAACGCCAAGAACTCTTTATATATTCTTACATTCTTTTTTAATTGTATTTTATTAAAAGATTTACTATTTTCTTATAGGAATAAAGGTGCATTTCATGTGCATTTTATTTTAGAAAAATCTTATTGCACTTACCTCCGTTGGCCAGTAGGTTCTCCTGGACCTTGTCTCTGCTGTCTTCGAGAACATCAGCCATGTACTGAGCCACTTTTTTCACCACACTACCGCACAAAAACAACGAGGATCAAAGACCTCATCACATGACCTTACATTATTGATAATGAAATGAAATAATCGGAGTCTCAGTTGACAGTGGGGACTGCAGAGTTTACCTTTCCACAAAGGTGTCCAGTTTGGCTAACTCATCTGAGAGACCCACAAGGACGTCCAACGTCCCAACCTGATGGAGACAGAGGACAGCGTGATAGCAGAAGGACACAGTGTGTCTTCTTCAGTGTCTGAGCATAGAGTGACTGCTGTGTTTTACCTTCAGGTCAGGAATGTTAAACTTGTTGTTGTTCGACAGGTTGTTGGTCCGTGAGGTGGCGGCCATCATCTTGTCCCATGTCTGCTGACACGTCTTCTCCCCTGGAGCAGAAATCAACCAGAATTCTGTCATGGCTGCTGGCAGGAAGTTTGTCCACGAGGCTGGTGCTGTAAATCAGACAAAAGAAGTTTCAAATAGTTAATTACCTGTAGTGTAAAATTCCTAGAATTGTGATTAAAACAAGAAAAAGTTCTGTTCATCTGCAGATCATTATAAAGATTGGAGGGATATATATTTAACTAATTTTAATCAAGTTATTCTTCCAATTCTTATAAACATGGCGTCTATTAAATTACTATTCTGGTTGTAAGGCCAATCGATTTATTGTTTATTTGTTTTTTAAATAAACAACTATTCAATTTAAACAGATATTTAGTAGAAAAAATAAAACTATGCATCACAGCATTCATGCATAAATATTTAAAGGGGGAAAGGAAGTTATTGTTGCAAAAACATTCATAATTGAATAATAATTGCATTTAATTTTTGTTATATTTAAGAACAAATCCGGTCCCAAAAATGTCTCACTTCTGTGACTAGAGGTACTATTTTAACATTGCAAGAATCAAAGGCATTTTTTACAAATTCTTGTTCCTCTTTTGACAAGTACTGTGCCTCGGATTAAAGAACTTCCTCACATTTTCAGATTGCATCGGGACAGTACGAGTCTGCTGACGTGTGTCATATGACCAGTGTGACGATCACATGAACTGCCGCTACAGCTGTGACACTCGTTCAATGACAAACACGACAGAATAAACCAGGCAGCTACCTGGCTAAAATGCACTGTTAGCCTACTAATGCTGCTGCTTGTTTTCATTGCAGTGCTGTCACGACGTCCATAATCTGTGTGTTTTCAGACTCACCGATGTGTCAAATGCCCTCGATGTTTTCGTCCACACGTTTTTATTTGCTTAAAATTTGTAGAGTCTCATACATATCGCAGATTATGGCAGGTTTTGGTCCTCAGACGTCTTTGATTCATGCAGTTTATGCCTTCAACGCAGCTCTCGTCCCCAGTCAGCTGACCAGAGATGATGAGCTACGCATGCGCACAAGCTACTGCGGCCCGTGCTGCATTCAAGTGTACGATAAAGGCTTGGTCAAAACATAAAACATATAAAACATTTTATTCAGCAGTTTATGTGTGAAAAATCATTTTAATTGTAATAATATAAACTGACAGATGAATGATAAAATGATAAAGTAAATGTAATTGCGGTCTAAAATAGAATGGAAGGATAGCTTTAATGTATTTTCGTTGTATACTTTGTGTTGAATATATAGGTATATGAAAATGTGTTCATCGTTTATTTTAAAGTATTTAATGTTTTAAATATTTAATGTTTTCGAACATTTTGTTTTGCTGTGTTTATCATCTGACTGAGAAGATAACATATATAAGATGAATTAACAAGTGGCAGCAGTAACCTGCTAATTAATTTTGATTAAAAAAAAAGAATCGGAATGTAGGGTACATAATTGTCTGTTGTGACACTTTAAAAACTCTGTAGTGCTGCACCCCTGTGGTGAAATGTCATTACTACGTAAAATATCACCCCTGTGGTGAAATGTCATTACTACCAATTAAATGATAAATACGCAATAAGTTCCTTCACATTGGGCTCGTCCGGGATTTGAACCCGGGACCTCTCGCACCCAAAGCGAGAATCATCCCCCTAGACCAACGAGCCACATGTTGCTATTGATGTTACTATTTTGAAATTCCACTCAGCCGCAACATAAGGTATCAACAAAAAGTTAAGTGAATACAGTTAGTCAATAATTCAGCACAGACACATTCAATTCAACTGCTGTCAACCAAAATAATGCACAGTTAGCATAAAATGTGTCAACGGTTGCCTTAAAGATCTGTTTTAAAATGACATTTAGGCTTCACTTCAGAAATACTGGGACAGCATCAAATAACACAGAGCAATACTGATAAAATATAATGAAAGCATAGATTAATAACATAATCTTGAAAAACATAGAACAATATTTTATTGAGGAGTGTCACTTGATGTTTTTCCTTCTTTCTCCACTAATCGATCATTCGTGATTTTATCTTGTATCTTTTATTTATATTGCTTTGATAAACCCAGACTGACTCATTTCCTCCAAACAGATTGATAAATTATTTCCATAATATTCTGTACATTGACTCCTTACACTTAGCCGAGTCATTTGCTGTCTAAATATAGTTGGTGGGGCCAGTCAGCAGAGATACTTCAAAATATTAGTGTCAGATTTCAGCCACAGGGCTTTCCTTGAATCTGGTGCTTTCTAAGCCATGCAGTTTTGTGAACACTGTGTCCTTTAAAGCTGCTGTCGTAAAAAAAAGATGATAAAAACTACCGGACAGACGTACTGACAACCACGAACACACAAACAGAGGAAGCCGGAGTGCAACAAGTTGTACCAGCAACACAGAAATATAAGTCATACGACTGTGGTGGCTGCAGGCTGTTTGTTTTTAGTTGTGCACCCAACTCCTGACTGCCGTGTCTAATGAAATAAATCCTTTTCAATTAACTTCTGCCTGTTAGACAAGAAGACAAACAGTTATTGTATTTAAGCCAAAATCAGAATGTGGTGTCTTTAGAAAAATTGGTCATTTGTGTTTTATTCAATAATAAAATATATAACAAAGCAATTTATACAATGATGTGAAATTGATTTTTGAATTTTGTTAAATAAAACATTTTCTTTGCTCCACTGCCTTTTTCAACCTCATAACTTTTTCCACCATTCCTGATTGCTCACATACATGAGAGTCCTCAGGGCTTTTAAAGAGTCTCAAAATAGTTTTCATTTCTAAAAGGACAACACATCTGATAACGTCATAGTGGTTGTACAGCCTCAGATAATTACTAGAATGTGACTCACATTCTTGGTGACTTGCTTGAGTTGTAATTCCTAATTCCTGAATTCCTAAATGTCAAAGAAGACAGGTTGTATTAGCATATTATAATAAACATTAGCATTAACATAATCGGATTATTGGTTAGATATGTAATTAAGTATGTAAAATAAAATTATGTTAGGTAGAAAATATAAGCAAAGGGCAAGGTTGCTGGTGAACACGTGAATATGTTGTATGCTTTTAGGTTGGAGGTGCAAGGTACTAGACAAAAGTTATAACATTTACTCCTTCAAAACAAAGATTGTTGTAATGGTTTTGGCCAAGGTTACTGTTTATTAGTAATTTTATTTACATGACCATTTAACCTTCACACTAGCATTCTATTATGATAAGAATTCCACATCATGTAAGGTTCATCAGCTGCAGTCAGGGGTTGTTGTTATGCAACCATAGGGGTAAATGCTTATAAAAGCAGAAAAACATTAGATACAGAAGTTACTGATCCACCTGGTTTATAGCTCAACTATAGTTTGTGAATAACCCCCCTTACTAACGCCAATAAGAGTTTAACTTTTTTTCATTTTTTTCATTTATTTGTAGGTAAATTGTTCTTTTGAGTGACGTTATTGTTAAACGTTTGGAAAAGATATTCTTTGACCGATGCTTTCGTTATATATTTTTTACATAAACATTAGATAAATGTGTTTTAAGGATACGAGAGGTGAAGTATACCAATGACAGGCCCACAACGGAAACTTTACGGTTACGTAATGTGAATAGACAAAACGGGTAATTCGCGGCGCAAAGATATTCGGAAATACATATATGGAAATGACCTGGACGATTTGCAAAAGCTGATTGGTGGAACTGAAGATCAGGCTCCGCCTCTCTTGTGGCCGTTGATCACCCATCCACTTCCCTTGCTCTGTCTTCCAGTAGCTCTCCACCCACCGACGGATAGAAAAGACGATACAGCACTGACGCTCGTCCCCGTATAACCATATGGCCAAAACAGCCCTCTTTCTTTCTTTCATCGTTGGGTCCACTACTCTTTAAAAATTCCGCCGAAAAAGAGAAGACGATTTTCCAAAACATTTTGGCCGTTATCTCACGTAAGTACAGCGAAAAAACTCCGCGTTGACTTGTGTGGACTAGAGCAGGAGGACGTAACATGGCGGGCTGCTCTTTCTGCCTTCTTTCCACACATGACACGCCGAGTCATTGGATTTTGCCTTTCACACATTCCATTGCCACCATCGAGTGTGATATTGTGATATAAGATATTGTCGTATGAAGGATTTTATTTGTATCCACATACCATGTCGTTTTCAGTGTTGAATTTAGGTTTATTTCTAAATAACGGCTCTGACCGGAGCTTCTTGTATCGTCGTGCGGTGTGTAGATAATCTCAACACAAGAGGCAGTCTCGGCGCTGTTTGACACAATCACGTTTACGGTGTTCAAACTGACTTTCAATAGAACCCGTTGTTCTATTAAAAATATATCGTTTTAGTTAATAAACAGTTAATGTTTACATATTTGATTGGTAGTGTCTCTTGTCCTTACTGTTTGTGGTATTACTGCGCATGCGTAGAGTGTCATTGGACTCTGAGCACAATGTGATGTAGTAGTCAAAAATCAACGTTTTAAATTAATATTTTTACTTACAGGTGTTTAAATCTTATATTAGAATTGAACAATATAGACGGGGCACTGTACTGGATCGAGGATGTAAATATTGTGGTGCTCAGGGTGTTTATTTCGTTTTTCTTGTATGAAGATAGTTTGTTTCACTACAGCTGCTGTTTAACTTAAATCATATTGATAAACCTGCAGCTTGTAATTGCATTCATTAAATTATTTCTTTGAGCAATCGAGACATTTTGAGATCATGAAATGTAAAACAAAAATATCATCAGAATTTAAAAAATTGTCATTGATATACAAAAAAACCCAGAACTGGATTTTTGTTTTTCTTGAACCCTAAATAGTGTAAAGACAAATAAACCACTTCATTCCTTATTTGGCAACAAACTGGATTTGACATCTTTCCCAAACATAACATTCAAAAAAATGTTATTTTGATATTGCAAAATATTTTTGTGAACTATTCCTTTTGAGTTGATGTGTATTTTC